ACTTCTAGTCACCGAAGTAACTTGAAAACAACCTTGCTTCATCTTCTATACAACTTCCCTTCAGATATTTAAAGATGGCTATCATGTCATCTCTGGGTCTTCTCTTCTCCAAGCTAAATATAACCAATTCCCTATATATTCATAGGAGTTTATCACATGGGGAGCCCTGTGCAAATCGCTGCTTTAAAGAGGGGAAAAAAACATGCAAAAGTGGAAGCAATTAATTTAGGGGATTTGTCCTGTTCATCCCAGTGTGAAAAGTGAAAGCGATGTTAAAATGGGGCTAATCCGAACGGAAACTGCTTCTTTTTACTTTCGGAAAAACCTGAAAGTAAAAAGAAGCAGTCAATGAGGAGTTTCCATTCGGATTAACCCCAGTTTAACCCCAGTTTAACAGCGACGTCATCTGAAAAAACATCCGCTTTTGCAGGTTTTTTCTACTTTAAACCCCGTTTCCACATGGGATTTCCCCCATGTGATAAACTCCATAGTTTCCAAACCATTGATCATCTTGGTCAACACATCTCTGGACATGTTCCAACTTAGCTTGTGGTCTACTAAGATCCCTCGATCCAGTCAAAGCATGTGCAGACAGCATTTCCTAAACTGCTAAGCAACTGAAGGCAAATTCATTATGATATTAGTGAGCAGTGCTTCAAGCTCTGGTGGCATGAATTCTTTGGATAATAATCCCAGATCCTTGGCATGCCCCTTTTGGAAATAACCCACTGTTTCACATTCAGTTCTGCCTTTTACCTCAAGTTTCTCAAACCAAATGCTAAACAAAAAGAAAAGGGAGAAAAAAAGGAAAGAAGGAGAGAAAAGGGTGGGGGACATGGACTTTCCAGCTTTTAACTGTGAGGTGGTATACAACTGTGAACAATCCCCAAACTTTTTATCCTAGGAGAACAGAAAATCTGTGAGAACAGATGGTGACTAGGAAACCCAAGTAGGTCACTCTCTGCTGAGTTAATGTTCGTGCTAACACAGTACTTTCCCGGCAAGCATTTGCTTCGCTCTGTTTTCTGCTAACTGCTTTCAGTGTTTTTGATAACTTTTGATCTGATGCCACTCTTAACTGCATTCTGTTTGATTTTGTAATTACTTTCAGGCTGAAACTCATGGAGATATTAAACAAAATCTGGGTTATAAATATTCTCTGTAATAATGCGTTAGCCGATGCCTCTCTTATCTGATTTTAGAATGTTATTGCAGCTTGGGGGTCTTCCCTCCTCCCAAGGAGCATACCTGATCTAATTAAAAACAACAATGGGAAGTCAGTAACAGGGTTACAATCTGTACAATGCAGTTCTGCCACCATGGGGAAAGAAGCAGCTATAAAAGTCTACCATTCCAGATACCAGGTCATGGACCCTTTACATTATACAATTATAGCACTATGATTCCACTTTAACTGCCTTGGTTCAGTGCCATGGAATCCTTGGTCCAGTCCTGTGGAATCCTGGGAATCCTAGGGAGGAATATTTAGAATTGTCAGTGCTCTAGTTCCCCAATAGATTACAAACTCTAGGATTCCACAGATTGCAGCCATGGCACTTGAACTGGAGTCATAGTGCTATAACTGTGTAATGTGAAAGGGCCCTATGTGTCCATCCACCTAGCATGGCCTACTCTAGGGATGGGCAACTGTCAACCTCTAGATGTTTTTGGCATACAAGTCCCAGAAACTCTTGTGAGCATAGCCAATGGTGAGGATTTATGGGAATGCAACTCAAAAACATTTAGAGCATCACAGTTGCTTATCTGATTCTCTTTGGCAACAGCCCTCCAGAGTCACAGGGATTGATTCTTTTTGCCACCTTCTCACTGATCTTTACATTAGCAATGCCAGCATTGAAACTGGGACCCTCTGCATACATGTGCTCTGCCACTGGGAGATGGAAGACTCATATGTACATTTTCCTAAAATGTCCCATAACCTCTGGTGCTAGAAATTTGAAGTTGGCCTGAAGAGGCATGGGTGTTTATGCCTAAAGTTTAGGCCATGAATTTTGTCCAGATTATGAACCACTTCAACAGAACAAATGAGTAAAGCAGAGCTTGGGAATGTTACTTCTTCTTCTTCTTCATTTTTACTATAGCTCCCATAATCCTTCGGTAACTGAAACAAACAAATGCATGACAGCAAGCAAGTGCAGTATGTTTTAAAGGAAATAAAGGGAAAGAATGAATAAAAAACATGATTACATTAGTAAAGCAAGTCCATTACTGAATGGGTTTCATGGTGAGTAAAGTATGTCCATTAGTAAAGAAAATAAGAAAATACATATCACATCAGGGTGTGTATCCTATGTACATTAGGATGCTTGCCATAAAATTTAATGTAAGAGCTGAGAAGTTGTCACTGTGGGAAGGAAAGCTGCTACCAAAGGAAACCCAGCAAGAATCTTCTTCATCACAGCAGTGTCAAAACAAAAATGTGGAAAATGTAAAATAAAACGTTAAATGACAAAAGAGAAAAATAGGCATGTAATGAGAACAAGAAAATGAAGCAAAAACCTAATGAACAATTAACCATTTCAGTAAAGGCCTGTGTAGATAAAGAGCCTTCCTTGCAACAGAAATCAAAAGCTTGAGATCAGCCACCAAGAAGGTTCTCTCCTGGGTTCTGCCCTACAGGACAGAAAGAGACATCTCTCCCACAGTTCTTTAAAACTGAACAGGTTTGTACAGAAAAACACAGTCTTTCAAATAATGTTTTCCTAAGTCATGTTGATCTTCTGTGGGTCATAACTAGCACTTTGAATTATGTCTGTAAATAGATGGCAAATGGTAATAGTCAGTAAGGCTCTTGTGATATGGGTATGGTGGTGTTTCTGTAACTTGTCCCAGTCAATGGTCTCCTATAGTTCCCTGTAACTGGCTATGGCTGCATCCAGCTATCTCTAGTTTCTGAACACTCTTTCAAGGTTGCCCCATCTAAAGCTTATTACAGTACTCCAAACAAGATAAGGCATGATTCACAGCTTGAGAATGGGGTGGGTGGAAAGACAGATCAGATGGAGAATGGATAGGAAGGGTGGAGGAGGAAGAAGACTGGCAGACAACAAGTTCTTATTCTCCAAGACACCACTAAAAACCTTTCATATCACTAGCTATGGGACATATTTTATTTATGCTGCCTTGTACCTCCCACTTCAGAGCTGTGTCAAGTGACCCCCAGATTGTATCCTAACAGGATAGGGAGAAAATCTTCCCCCTGTCCATTTTTTCCACACCAAGCCTAATTTATATACTTTTATTAAGCCATCTCCACTTACCTTTCCCCCAAATTAGCCACTTGCCCTGACATTGCAGTCAGGGACCATGTATTCTGCCACCAGTTCTGTCCCCTGATAAATTTCCTGTCATATGAAGTCCTAAGACTGTCATTGGTTCCTACGGGGAAATATGAAATGAAATATCCCCTTCAGAGCAGCAAAGCCTACAGGGGACAGCTTGGCCTCTGTTGACAAGGAACCCCAGGGAAGCCTGAGTCCCTGCTGTATAAGTGACCTTGTTCTGCCCCTCTTCTGTCAAAATGAAGGCTCTTTTGTTTGTTATTTTTAAAATCAGGTTCTCGCTTTCTTGTAATGGCAGCAATCATTTTATTTTTTTCCCCCAAAACATTGATGCAGCCTCCAGCTTGTAGCAGCTGTGAACATAGTGTCGGCAGCTGTTGAATCCAGACAGTATCAATATTTTGTCAAGATTCAGCTTTCTCATAATAGCAGCAGTCATTTAGAGCAGGGCTTCTTTCAGGAGATCTTTCAAACGACAAGTCAAAAGATGGATCCTAATACGATGAGTAATCACAGTGTGATTTTGCAAATCTGACAATTGCTATTCAGGTTTCTCCTCCTCCTCCTTTTTGCTTTGCAAAGACCTTGTCAGCAGTATGATTTTTCCCCCATGAAAAAGTTAATAAAGTATGACTTGCAAGTATCCAGAAAATTTACGATACTCCCCTGTCATGATAAGCCAGGCCCATGCAGAGGGAGTTTGGCCACTCTGGTAGAATACATACTTTGTATCTCAGTTGATGACACTTTCTCCTTCTCCTTCTCCTTCTCCTTCATACCCTCCAACATTTCACACATGAAAATTGGCACACATGTGGACAAGCAACACCAGAGTGTAGTCAAGATGGCAAAAGGTATTCATGAGAAAGAAAAGACCAACTATGAGAGGCTGCAGCAATATGCTTTTGCCAGAGCCTACTGGGAAGGACAAGATTCTATCCCTTCCTCTCCTCTTACTCATTGAGCTAAATGAATACAAACTAGTTTTGCATTTGGAACTCAGTTTGCAACAACTGAAGAAAGCTGAGGATAAAAGGGGAATGAGGGAGGAAGAGAGAGAAATTGGGATATTTTAACAGCATCTGAAAAAGTGGGAGGGCAGAGGATTCATCAGAACTGTCCTTGCCAAATTAGGATAGCTGGAGAGTATGTCCTAATAACCATTATCCTTGTAGCAGGTTCAGTGGCATTTAGACAATCTGCTGGATTTTTGCCTGACTTTAGAATTAAAAAAGTAGAAATAAAAAAGTGTAATGAAGTAATGATAGGTACTTGCCATTTTTCTCAGTAATGAAAATATTACTAAATAATTGAATGTAATTTTGATCCATTTCTTTCATAACCCCCCTTCCTGCTTCAAATTTGGCTAAAATTTTAATAAAATTTAAAACAAATACAAATTTATGAAAAATATGTGTAATATTTCAAAAATTAAAACATCCCCCAAAGGCAGCTTAATACAGTAATACAGCATACCACTAAAAGCTCTGCCTGGAATTCACATTTGCAGTTACAAATGGATAACCTAGAATTAATTCTTCTTCTTCTTTGGCCTTCCAGTTGTTTCTGACTTATGGTGACCCTAAGGCAATCCTATCACAGGGGTTTCTTGGCAAGATTTGTTCACAGGAAGTTTGCCCTGCACTCCCCTGAGGCTAAGAGAGTGTGACTTGCCCAAGGTCACCCAGTGGATTTCATGGCCAAGCTGGGAATCAAACCCTGGTTTCCAGAGTTACAGACCAACACTCAAACCACTATGCCATGCTGGCTCTATACACTTTCTATAAGCATTCTAACAGATTTCTATTCATGATCCCTATGTATTCAATATTGTAGGAAATATGTAGAGATTATAAAAGTTTTCCGATCCTTATTTACTGTATAGCAGCTGCTGCAAGCAATGAGACTTTGTTCTCCTGTTGACATTTCCAGCCCTTCCTGTGAGTGATCTCTGGTTCAAGGAAGAATTGTAACAGGAATCTACCACAAAAATGTTAACATTCAGGATCAGGGTTGAATTCAAGAGTGCACTTAAACCGCGAACTTGAGTCTCCAGGGGACAGTAACCTCACCCAGCACAAGCTGATTCCTTGATCTCCTGGATCAGTCATATTTGTATTAAGCTGTAATTTGACTATAGGCCATCTATAGTCTATAGACAACCAAAGAAATCTCCCTACTAATATCAGGCCTGAAGCCAGATTGAAATGGATCTAGATCATTTTATCCATAAATCCCTGGAGCTCAGATCTTACCACACACTCCACTATCTTGCCAAAATATGGAATCTTGGAAATTAGTCGGTAATTATCCAGTATAGTAGAATCCATGGTGGCCTTTTCCAATAAACGTCTTGCAACTGCTTCCTTTAGGCATATTGGAATCATGCTTGTTCTAAAGAGGCAGTGGCCTCTATCCACTCAGCTTATTTTAACCTCCCCCTTTGCTTTTTAGTGTAAGAACTGAATCTGCAGACTTAAAATTATTGAAATGGATGTCATTATTTTTCAATGTTCTGAACCATCAATGGGTGTACGGGCTTTCCATGCTTAATAGCTAAGTGACAAAAACATTGCAGAGTCTCCTTCCGCTAAGTCAGCAGTTTTGAAATATGGATTTAAAACTTTCAAAATTATCCTGCAGTGCAGTTCTCAGAGTGTACACACTGAAAAGTATCCATCATCACTGGAATATTCTGGAGCTGGCACCAAAGTTACAATCAATGTAAATGTATTAGCTATAGTATCCAAGTTGGAATGGATCTAAGCAATTTTTCTGCAAAGTAAAATTGATGTGCAAATTGTTCACAGTGGATTGTTGAGTGGTCAATGACCTCTGGCCATTCACAACAGAAAGGCTCTTTGGTAGATGCAATGGTGGCAAGGGATAATATTTTTTAATGTTTGTTTGTTTGTTTGTTTTGCTGTTTGTACTGCCATGGAGTAGGTTTTCAAAGTGGCTCAAGTCAATGTTTGGTCAAGTTAGGGAAGTTTCAGAGAAGGACAACAAGAATGATAAGAGGTATGTAGAATAAAACATATGAGGAAAGGGTAAAGGAACTGGACTTGGTCAGCTTAGTGAAGAAAAGGCTGAAGGGTGAAATAAGTGAATTCTTTAAATACTTCAAGGACTGCCACAGAGAGAATAGGGTAGGCCTGATCTCTGCTATGCCAGAGGGTCAAATGGTCAAATGGTTTGAAATTACAGGAAAACAGATTTCAAAGGAACATTTTGACAGTGAGAGTGGTTTGGCAATGGAGTCAATTACCTAGAGCAGGGGTAGGCAACCTTTTTGAGCCGGGGGCCAGGTTGCTATCCCTCAGACAACTGGGGGGCCGAAGCACCAAAAATAAATGAATAAATAAATAAATAAATAAAAATTTTTAAAAAAATTAAAAATATGCATGCACACTCTCTCAGCCCCAGAAAAGCCATGGCAAACCCCCTGTGGTGATTTTGCCAAGAAAACCCCAAGAACAAGTAATAACAACAATAATCAATATCATCATGGCAGGTGGTGGTGGCAGTGGGTGGCGGCGATGGCAGGACTGGCCACGGGCCGGTCTAAAGGCCTCAGGGGGCCGCATCTGGCCCCCGGGCCTTAGGTTGCCTACCCCTGACCTAGAGAGATGGTGGGGTCTTCGTCACTGCATGTCTTCAAAAAAGAGGCTGGAGAGTTACCTACTGGGGATGCTTTGGCTGGAGATCCTGCACAAGGCAAAGGGCTGGACTCAATCCTGTGAGGCTCCTGAGATGGAAAAGTTTCATTAATCAATATAATTTTAGCTATCCATGTTAGAAATGTAGAAAAATAGATGTCAAGTGGCTACATGAAGAGGATTCTGGGAGTTGAGGCCTCTGAATAGGAATGTTTAGAGACAGATTGACCTTTTGAAGGACTGCTGCATTTAGACGCCAGAGTGGTATATGGCAGCCATAATAAATCACTGATAGGAAGACCCAGGCACTCTGTGCAAAGGGGCCTATGGTACCATCTTTTGAGATAAGGGGCATTGGAATGTGGCCAGATGTGCTTTAAGTAGATTATAATGTATTCTAAAATCTTTACTCTTATTGCTTGAGATTCTATATGTTTAAGGTTTGAAATATCCAATGAGGATATTTCTTTGGATTTCTTTGTTTGGAGGTGTATAAATGTAGCCATTTTTCTTCTGTTCGGGGCCCAAAACTTTGGAATGCAAATTCCTTTTGGGACTGTCAACATAATAAACCTGTTTTTTAGTAATTGACTTCGGTCCCCTCTCTTGCTTTTGCTCTGCCAGTAACTGAAGCTGCTGCGGGCTGATAGCTCACAGATTGGTTATTTCTATTACACTCCTTCCAACTGTATGATTATATGATTCTAATGATTCTAATTTTCAGTCTGTCTTTCTGATACTACATCATGCCAAAAAATGGCTGGATAGATTTTCACTATATTTGGAGGACATATTTGGGTGGGCCTGACTTAAAGTAAAGGTTATGCGGCATATTTGAAATTATTTTTGAAGGGCACTGTGGGCATCCAGTTATTTTTTTCATTCCTGCAGAGTCATGTGGCACATCATTTGAAAGATTTCAATGAGCTGAACTCATTTTCTGAAGTTTTGTCATGACTATATGCATTAGATTATGCTTCAGATATACTTCAGATGCATATGCATATAGGAAGTAGACTGAAGTCTATGAAAGCTCATGCTGCCAACTTCTTTATTTCAGTTAGTCTCAAAAGTGCTACAAAATCTCTCTACATATTGATTCTACAGACTAACATGGCTATATCTTTGAATTCATCATATTGATGCCAGGCTGACTGGACAGTAATTATTTATATCCTCTTCTCCACCCACTCATCCATTCCCCCCCTTTTTTTAATATAATGGGGACAGCAGTCTGCTGGGACTTCTTTTCATCAGGAATTTTCAAAGATGATCAACAGTGGCTCTGAGATTTAATACCCTTGGATGAAGTTCATCTGGTCCTGGAGACTTTAATTGCTATCTCTTTACCTATTCTGTGCTGCATTTCCCCATCTGCATCATCTGCTCCATTTTCCTCAAGTTGATCGCTGTTTTCCTTTCCAGAGAAGACTGAGGCAAAGCAGGTGTTGAGTAGTTCTGCCTATTCTCTGTCCTTTGTTTGTATTTTGCCATCTTCCCCACCCAGAGAACCTTGTTCTTCTTTTTGCTACAGACCAAACAAACATCCCTTTTTGTTGTTTTAGATCTCTCTAGCAAGCCTGAGTTCATTCTGCGCTTCAGCTTTTCTGAGTTTCTCCCTGCATATGATCGCTATCCATTTGGATTTCTCTTTGATTTTCCCCTTTCTTGTACATGGTCCTTTTAAATCTTAGCTCAGTTGAAAGATCTTGAGTCATCCATCCTGGTTTCTTAAGACATCTCCCATTTTTCCTCCTCATTGGAACTGTTTTGGTCAATGAAAGCAAGTGAGGAATTTGTTAGATCTTATATTCTTGGCAGAGTTTGACCTCCAATAAATATCAGAGTAGTTGAAATCTCTCATTACTACTACATCACTGTAATGAGAAGACTCTGAACCTGGGGAATTACTAAAGTCCAAGTCTTCTATGGGATCTTTTATCCTATGTTTACGGAGGTGGCTAGAGACTGATATAGAAACAAAGCTTTATTTGAGGATTCAAGTATACAAAGACATCCTAACATACATGCACACACACAAGAACTGAGAAGTAAAGTAGTTAGCTTGGATAGGAACACAAGGCTTTCTAATGGTGATAATTACCTGCAAAGAGTTGCTCCAATGATGGATAGACTGAACTGAAAAGAACAGTGGGTAGAGCCGAAGACTCTAGCTACAGATCATGAATGGTACAGGACCATCATGAAATCTATCCAGACCCCCATTTTCCCTGAGATTTTGGGGAGTATTTAAACCATGGAAGTGAAGAGTTGCTATTGAACATCAAAGGATTCTGATTGCTATGCTTTGAAGTAGACAATTTCCAGAAGAGGGGAGATGGGATGTAGGTTTTTTATTTTTCTTCACCTTAAGAACACATCCTGACTGGCTCATAAATCTTTTCAGGTGTGAATGTCCTGTATTGCAGCTCCTAAGCCTGGCCTTTTGATCTGCAAATGGCTTGTAAATGCAGATTCACCTTGGAGTGTCTACGTGATGTGCCCGCCTTGAGCTTATGGCGATGGAGGCCCTTTCCAGCCTAGGGCTTCTGATAGAGATCCAAAGGGATCTTGATATCAAAACCCAATTGTAACATCTCCCCTTTGTTTGGTCATCTGTTCAAGGACAGCATCATCCAAGTTCTCACTCTGTCTTGGGGGCTTATAATAGACCCCCCAAAATGACATCACTGTTGTTTCTGTCTCCCTTAATTTTTATCCAGATGGCCTCAATTTGGCTCCCAGGATTTAATGATTTCATTCCGATATACAAATGGCATTAAGTCCAGTGAACTTACTCCAGACAAATGTACACTGACTGCAACTTAAGGCTACCAAAGTGGGAAAATCTACTGTTCCTTGGGGCATGATTAGTTTTCATTAGGATTGATAATGTCATCCTGAGCACAGTCCCTCCTCTGACATCATCCTATCTCCTCCACCAAGTCAATTTTCTCTTTTCCATGCAGAGAGGCACACAAAGTTTCATGCTTCTCTCTGCACTGAGAATGTCCCTGCTATTTTCGATATGACATCAGATATAATGGGGGTATGGATCACGTTCCCATCATGTCTGCCTCCACTTGCTAGTACTGAAAGATTTTAAATTT